GGGGGGGGGGCTTGAGCAGAAACCCTGAGGGTTAGAGCAGGAATAGGCCCATCTGCCTGGTAGGAGACAGGAGAGGGAAGGGTGGGGTGAGGAAGTGTCCCTGGGGCTTGTAGTGGCTAGTCCCTCCTGGACCTGCTCCTTGGGGGGCGGTGACACCCTGGGGGAATCAGGAAGCCACTCCGCACATATATAGGCACACCCAGTGGGAAGAAGGCACCGAGTCTGGTGGGTAAGGTCAGCAGGGCAGGGCAGCTGGAGCCTATCTCTCTAACTGTGAGCTGGGCCTGTGTTGCATCTGACTCTTGGTGAATGTGTGCATTACCAGGGCTATGTGTGAGCTTTTGTCCCCAAGGCTGTGTTATGTGAGAGGGGTGGGGTGGGGTGGAGGTGAGAAGAGGTGTGCATTGCTTGGCAGGGTCTGGTTGAATCTATGTAGTTGTGCACGGTTCCTGATGTGCTGGGGATGGGCTTCTCCAGAAAACCAACCTTGGGACCCACGCCCCGGCTTCCCACATGTATGCATACACAACCTCCAGGGGACCCTGGGCCTGCTGGAGGAAGAGCGGGAGGGCTGGTCAGAGCACCTCTGTCCCCACTGCTGTCCTTCCTCTTCTCCCAGCCCCCAGGAAGGACCAGGCCAGGCTGCTGAGAAGGGGCACAGCAGCTGAGTCTGGAGCTCACCCCTGCCGTAAGTGTGGGCGCCTGGAAGCCATTAGGGGCCTGGGTGGCGCCTGCCCTGCCCCTTGTGTGACAGGCTTGGGATTCCTGGAAGGAGCAGGCCACCCCCTCCCTGCTGAGCCCATGCCAGGCCTGGCAGCTCCCAGAGGCAGAGAAGATATGGCAGTGGCTCCCTCCCTGTTACCCTCTGAGTTTAGGGGCTACAGGAAGGGCCCAGCAGACAGGGCCCAGGCCCTAGGACCCCTTCACCACCCCCCATTCCTAGCACAGCCCAGGCTGCCGGGCTGGCACTTGGATTTCCTGCCTCCTTCCCCTCCCCCGCAGGCTCTCACATTGTTTTTCTTTTCCAAGAGCTTCTCCAGTGGAGCCTGGCCAGGAAAATGGGGAGAGGAGAGTGAGTGTCCGCCTGTATATTTGTGTGTGTGTATGAGTGTGTGCATCTGCTTAGCAATGAGTATCTTTGCATGTCTCTGTGTGTATCCATCCATGTGTTGGCATGTGTATGTCTTCAGGTGTGTCTGGGACTCAGTATCTACAGGTGAGCATCTTTCAGTGCATCTGTAGAGTTGTGTGTGCATTGGGTCCATCTCTGAGTATGCATGTGCCCGTCTGTGTCTCTGTATATCTGTGCTTATGTGTATGGGATGGGGTGTGTGTCTGCAGATGTGCCTGTGTGTGCACAGATGTCTGTGAAAGCACATGAGATCAAGGACAGCTACCTCATTGCACAGGTGGAGAGACTAAGTAATAGAGAGGGCATTCAGCCTGCCAGGGATCCTTTGGGGAGTCAGTGGCGTTCTGGGAAATGGAACGTACATCTGCATGGCTCTATCTGGGTGCATCAACAAATACCCAAATGTCCTAAACTTGGACTATTAAAATTAAAATACAATTCCCAGTCTCATATCTACTGAACTTGACTCTTTAGGGGTGGGTCTGGAGACTGCATTTAAAGCACCTTCTGCCCTCAGCAAACCTACAGCGTGGGGTGAGAATGGGGAACAGACAGGGACTCACATAAATGGTACAGCAAGGCTGTTAGTGTAGTGATGGAGCCAGGTCAGGGGCTGACCACCTGGCCTGAGATGGATGGGGAGGGTTTCTAGGAGGAGGTGATATCTGAGATGAGTTTTAAAGATGAGAAGAGGTAGCCCAGTGTAAGAAGAGGCTGGAGGGCAGCATGGAAGCATGCTGTGTTCAGGATGGAGATGAGGGAGTCACGGTCATTCAGTATATGAGATGGGACCTTAAGGTCAGGGACAGCAGGTCAAGGTTAAACATCAGCTGCCATTGCTGAAGATGGAAGGGACTAAAGCGGAGAGTCTGGAGGCCAGTGAGGAAGCGTCTGCAGACCCTTGCTCACCATTCCAGCCTCACAGGGGTTCTCCTGGAGCAGACCAGTTTCTCTCCTGCCTCTGCCCACGCTGTTCCCTCTGCTGGTTATGCTCTTCCCATGGCTGATCTTACGGATACGGACAGATGGTGGCAACAGGCTAATAATGGTGTGCTCTCCCACAGGTCCCAGGAGACATCTCCCCCCCGGTGGCCGGGAGAGTAGTGGGTAGCGGTGGCCATCATGCACAGTGGTATCACAATCGCCAAACGGCCCCCGCGCCGCCCCTGAGTCCAGCCCAAGTTCAAGGCCAGGGCCCACGAGCCCGCTTGCACCATGAGCCACGGGCCGAGCCCCCGGCTGGCGGAATCCCCGCAGCTGTCCAAAGGCAGCCTCCTGACCATCCTAGGCAGCCCGTCGCCGGAGCGCATGGGGCCCGCGGACTCCCTGCCGCCCACGCCGCCCAGCGGCACGCCCTCCCCAGGGCCCT